AACTCTGGTGTGAACCATTCTATATGGCAGTTCTTGACCTCTTTAACTATGATGAACCAGGCAGAGACAGTGACTCTATGGACTTCAGCATTCTGGCTCCCAGCACAGAAGGACAGAGTCTAGCCACAGCAGGAGCAGTATCCAAGTGCTCCCGACAAGCATAGGAGGCAGTGACAGAACAGGTCAGTAGAAACATTCTACACAGAGGGGCAGAGTCAGGTATAGAAGGGTCAATGCTTGGCCCAGCACAAGATAGTAGAGCCCAAGCCCCATTACTGACAGTTGCCTGCCCTGGCACAAAGGAGCAATGACAGCACTCAAGACAGCCCTCTATTCCTGGGAAGTAGCAGCTAACTGGCACAGGGGGCACAGTGGGTCCAAAGAGAAAGTGGTCAATGGTCAGTGGACAGTGGGATGTAGTGTTGTAGGGCTTGGCTTCAGGGGATATCAGTGGAATTCTTAAAGAGCAGGAGATTAAAAAAAAATAAGAGTAGCGGATAAGAAGTAGGTCACAACAAATGCGTAAGGTCCTTTGCCAAATGGTGTGGGAACAGGGGATTCATAGAGAAAAAAAGTACTTCTATCTTCCCTCAGTTGTCAGCTTTCATCATTATATTCACCATATTCAGAGATTCTATCCCTTTTCAATTCTCTTTTTGCTCAAAGTAACTTTTAAAAAATCTTCTATTCTTTACTCTACTTTTCTTCTTTTTGTGAGGCAGTTGGGGTTAAGTGATTTGCCCAGAGTCACACAGCTAATGAGTGTTATGTGTCTGAGGCCGGATTTGAACTCAGGTACTCCTAATTACAGGGCCTGTGCTCTATCCACTGTACCACCTAGCTGACCCTATTTCTTGCCATATGGTGCTGAATGAATTGAATGAAGAGACATTTAAATGCCTGCTATCTGTAAAGTACCTAAGTTACAAAAGTGAAACAATTTCTGTGCTCAAGAAGTTTGAATGGGAGAGATGAAATATTTATGGCCTGGCAAGGAAATTATGATTTGGGAAACCATGGGGATGATAAGTCTAGACATACTCTTTCAAGTACCAATGGCAGTACTGATTTGATTGTGATTCTAAAAGTGGAAGGGGGGTGGGGTGTAAATTCGAGGGAAGAAGAAGGAGGGAGGGGAGTTCAATGAGAAAATGATCAAGACACAGAGTAAAGCATGGCTACAGGCAGCCTACATACACTGAGGGGCACTCTACAATCAGGGTAACTGAGGCCCCAAGGTAGGAGTTCTAAAGCTGAATGTCCCCAAAATGGTCAGGTGATCATTAAGGGGCCAGGGGTAAATGCCCTATCCTTGGAACCCATTCTGAGCTACATTTGTAGCACTATTCCCCCAGACTGTAACATACTTTAATATATAAATCTTCTGTTACCTTCTCTTCCTTATACCTTCTGTATGTATCATTTCTATATCTAAGTTGGTTGATGCACACTGTACTTCCAGATTTCACTTTTCACCGTAATTTTGTCCAGTTATATTTTCAGTTTTTATTTTTTAAAGTTTCCCACCTTGACTTCCAGGAGTCAAGATGGGGGAGTAAGCAGTGGGTTGCTCTCACTCTCCCTTGTTGACCTTGAAAGACCCAGAAAATACCACCCCAGGAGGAATCCTAGAAAAGTGGAGCCAGCAGAGAGATGGTGGGCAGCAGTCTTTTGGCTTGTGAGGCTGTGGGTATTGACAGGAGGGGTCTCTCTTGCTGTGGCTAAAAGGGACCAGTACAGACAGGGAGACATCCCAGCAAGCCAGTGGCAAGCCCAACCTCAAGGACCAGCAGGAGATCCTGAGCCCCAAAGTGGTGGAGCCTTAGGTAAGTGCCAACACCAGGACCCCTGCATGCCTTGGCACAGTCAGGGAAACTGGCAGGCACTAGCGTGGAGAACCACTAATTGCGCTGGAGACGGGCGTCCACCAGTGGCTGAGCCTATCCATGCTCTAGTGCAGCCCCAGGTAAAGGGCTGGACCACCCTCATCCCTACTTCCTTCCCCACAAGCTTCAGTGTAACCCTGGGGAAATGCAGAAGGACCCCACCTGGCCTTGGCACACACCAGCCACCACCACCAGCTCCAGCTCAGCACCAGGCCCCCAGAGCCTCTAGCTGCCAGCACCTGAGGCCCCAGCACACAAAGCCAGTAGCCAGGCCCCTAGCTCCCAGCACAACAAGCGTGAGAAAGTGTTCCCTGTGCCCTAGAAGTAGAAATCAACTTTAAAAGCCAGGAAAAAGGAAAACATCATGAGGAAAAAAGCAACAACAACAACAACAACAAAAAAAAACCAAAGACCATAGATTATTACTATGGGGACAGGGAAGATCAAAACACAAATTCAGAAGAGGCCAACACTGTTAATATACCCACATCTCAAACCTCAAAGGGAAATATGAACTTGTCTCAAGTCCAAAAAGCCTTCTTGGAAGAGCTCAAGAAGGATTTTAAAAGTCAAATAAAAGAGGCAGAAGAAAAACTGAACAATTCCTTTAAAAATAAAGTTTCTCACCTTTCAAACTCCATAGGACCTTTCTCTCTTTTTTGTCCTGAAAAAAAGCCACTTCCCTGCAAAAGTTCCTGTCATTTCCACTTCAGCAACCAGTTCTTCCCAGTTAGTAAGAATAAGAACCAGAATAAAATTCTTGTTGATTTATTGTTAAGGCAAGACACTAAGGTTAACAACCCTGAATGTTTGAAAGGATGCTACTATCCTCATCAGAAATAAGGGAAGTCTAGAGCAAGGACACGTTAGGAAAATGCATTATATTTAAGATGTCAAGTTTGCTACTGTACATTCATTCAGGTATAACTGTTTAGTAGGCAGCTGGCCACAAGAGACAGACATTTGGAAGAAAAGTTGCAAATGGATTTTGTTGTCACATGTATAGAGATCGTAATTGAGTATAAAGTAAGGAAAGAGTTCAGAACAAATCTTTGAGGGACATAGATACTTATGGGAAGGCTGTAGTGTCACTGATGTCTAAAGAATATCAAGGAGAAGCGATGTTGCAGAGAGGTCAAAAAGAATGAGGACAGAGAAAAGTCTATTTGATTTGGCAATTATGAGATTCTGGGTAATCTTGGGAAAAGTAGTTTCAGCAGAGTAATAGGGTTGGAAGTGTGATTGGGTAAAAAGATTATGGAGTAAGTGGTTAAAAAAAAAAGTAGAAGCAGAGCAAAGACAATTCTTTCTAGGAAGAATTCTTCTACGGAATTGAGTTGGATGGGAGACATAGAACAAAACCATGAAGGGATGGCAAAGTAATACAAAGGTTTCCAAAGGCTAAAGGCAAGAAAAGGAAAAGAGCCAGCAGAGTTTAAAGATTAGAGAGATTGAGGCAATGATCAAAGTGGTGGGGAACCTGCAGTCTCAAGGTCACATGTGGCCCACTATGTCCTCAAGTGGGGCCCTTCAACTTCAAACAGATAAAAGGATTTGTGGCCTCGAGGCCAAAGATTCCCCACTCCTGTCCTAGAAGATACAGGAGAGAATGGGATCAAGAGGAAAAGTTAAGGAGTATACCTTGGCAAGGGAATCTTCCTTGGATACTGGAGAAAAGGAAAAGGGCAAACATAAAGATGATGAGGGATAGACTATGGAAGATGAGAGAGCTGATGAAAGATGACTTTGACTTTCTCAATAAAGTAAGAGGTGAATTTATAAGTTGAGGAGGGGGTACAGAGTATAAGGCAAAGGAGGCCTGGTAGGCATGAAGAGAGAAACATTTTGGAATGGTTCTTTTGGGGAATATGGTAACCAGTCAATCTGTGAAGAATAAAAGAACCACCATGCAACATGGGTCCATGTGAGAAATTTTCATCAGTGGTATTCACAACAAAGGAGTAGGAGCAATGGGTGGAGGGCAGGCAGAAGCGTAAATCAACGTTCTGGAATGGACAGGACGTCAATGTTGATGCCAGTGTGCTGGGGGAAAGGGATTCAAGAAAGAAACGAGACAGAGAGGAAAACTGTGAGCCAATTACTTAACTTCGAGAAAGCAGGAATGGTAAGCTGGAGATGAATATGTTATAGCCAAAAGGATCTGGAAGAGATAATACAAAAAGAGGTAAGTGAACTTACAGGGAGGAGAGGTTTGTAAGTGGGAGTAACTAAGAAAGAGTCAGCCAAAACCTCTTCCTGGCTTACTGTGTGTGTTAGTGTAACCAAACGGTATTTATAACTCCAAGAGAGATCAAAGTTTCCAGGAGTGCTAAGAAGATGGAAAAGATATAAGACAAAGATTGAAGGGGATTCTGTTAACAATAGAGGAATCCAGAAACAGAATGGATAAAGAGGATGGAAAAGGTTGTACTGTGGAGAATGACTGAGAATAAGAATGAGAGTACCGAAGGATAGCAACTGGGAGGAGTTTTGCCTCACTACTCTTATCACAGGGATAAGAGAAGCAGAAAATGAGAATTTGCCAGTCATAAGATGGGGAAAGACCCATTTGATTAGAGTTTCAACCCTCCATAGTCCTTTGAAGATAAGAATGTGACATCAGTATGAGAGCAGTGGTCTCAGATTCCACAGCTTCTCCCTCCAAACAAAGTAAAACAGTATTCATTGTTAACAGCCAGTCCCCTGGTGCTTTGAACTTTACATAGTATGTTCTCCATACAATCATTATGATAACAATTTTACAAACAAGTAAACTGATGCTCAAAGAGATAAGTAACTACTAAAAGGCCAAATAATTAATAAATTATCAAAGCAAGGATTTAAATTAGTTCTGACTACAGGTTCAGCATTCTAGACAAAAAACCATATCTACAGTCATAGATTAAATAAACCATAGGAAGGCTAGCTAATCCAAACCACTAATTCACGTTAGCACCAATCACAAGGTAAAAAAACAAACATATCTGGACTGTTCAAATAAGCTTCCCTCACTTGATGCAATCATGTTTATTTATTTGGAATATTTGGAACCAAGCAGCAGGATTTCAATCAGCAACAATTTTATTATGTACAGTCAACAAAATGATTACTCACCCTGTTCATAGAATCAAAGCACTTCCTAACCAAAGATTCCACATCATTAGGTCTATCTTGAACATTTATCCAGTCTAATAAAGAAACATTGAAAGAAGGCAAATCACTCTCTTTAGGTTCTGAAATTTCTTCCTCCTGCATAGTGCTCTGACGAGATTCTCTAATTTCTTTGCCACTTTCAGGATCTGTGTTGTCCAGGGCTGAATGTTCCACTGATTTGCAATATGAGGCTAACAATGATTTGTTAGTCATCTGAGGCATATCAGGATAAAGCACCAATTCTGATGATTTTTCAGTCTCATTGTTCTCTGTTTCTTTCCCTTCATGTTCAGGAGAAGAATCAAGTCTTCCCAAACATTCCCTGTAGCTATGTCTTGTTAGGCACTCCAAAAGTGGAATCTTGGCCATTACTGAAACCGCAGTTCCTAAACTTAAAATATAAGTGAACTGTCAGTAACAAGAAAATACACAAAAATGCACTAATTCAAAGTAACTGGGGAGAATTCCTAAGTGAATTCACTAAAAAAAAATATACTAGAGATGACTTTAAAGTCGCATATGGCTTTATGCAACAGACATTCTGATTTGGTAAATGGAAAAATAATCAGTACAATATGGTAAAGTAGAAATAACAGTAGATTTAAAGTCGCAACTTGGTTTTGACTTGATTTTTGTCCAAGTTACAACACTACCTAAGTTGTACAATCATGTGATAATTTCCTCATCTCTAAAATGGGGATAATAATAACATGCAGAAATATTATGCAATCTGCACTGAGTTGAAGTGGTAAAAAGATTGTTAATGTTAAAATATTATACAAATGTGGGTTCTTATTATCTGTGCACCACATTGATATTAAGAAAATCCACTGTATAAAAATCCAGATTAACAACCCACCCAAAAATAATAAAGTAGGAGTTATTTTAGATAAGATTCACTACAGGATCTCTTAAGTAGTAGCCTCTTCAAGCTATTTAAAATATTATTTCACTTGTAAAATCTCTACTTATATAAAACTGCCATATAATTACATATATAGTACAGGCTATTATGGTTGATATAGCATAGACTAATATGCCATTGACATGTGGTATTATCAGGCTTAAAAATTATTTGTAGTACTTGAAAAGCTAGTTTTTTAAGAAGACAGACAACTGCCATTTTTATACCACTCATTTCATTAGCCAACCTCTTTTTAAAATTTCTTTTTTTAATCATTTTTCTGTTCTCAAACGGTTTTATATGCAATTATGGAAGAAATCAGCCCAAGAATAACTTTATATTACTATCAAATTTTCCTGTGGTAGAACTACTTAGAGGGAAAAAAATATTGTTTTTTAAACCATCAGGAAAAATTTTGATAATATTTTTGATATTTGATAAAATTTTGATATATTTCTACATATTGAAGAATCAGGAGGAAAAAAGTGCTTCTTTTTATTAAACTTTTTAATAAAAGTTTTTTCTTCCTTTCAATTGAGAGGGAAAATGGATGTACATATTATTTAATTATTGCATTTTATTTCTCAGGATATCCATAGGATTATGTTTCTTAAAATTCTGAAAACAGACCATCTAGACATTTAATGACCCAAGAAATTTTACTTGTTACAAGAACTAACAATTCAAGAAAGAATTCAAGTAATTAAATTTAACTATAAAAATTATAAAATAAAAACTCTAATTTAGTTCAATTCTACAGGTATTAGTAGCAGACATACTGTGTAAGCTTCAACTTGATATCTTCTATGGATTGTAGATAATTTGAATAAGCACTTTCAAACTTGGAAAGCAGTTTTTGGTAGGATAATGTACAATCCTCTAAATTGGCCATTATTGCAGCCCAGCCTTGATGCTGAAGATGTTCATCATGGACCAGACCTTCACAAAACGAACAAAGCTTCTTGGCAACCTCATGCATTTCCTATGTGGAAAAAAAACGAATAAAAATATTCCATCAAAGATATATATAGAAATGACCTAAAACTATCCAAGCAAATAAAGAAATGAAGGAAAGAATCAATGGTTGTCATTTCCCTTATGGCAACTACAACAGGAGTTGTGAATATGTTTCCCTTGAGATTTCAGAATGGCTAAGGTAAGTCAAAACAAACTTCTTAAAAGCTATAATTCTAAAAAAAAAAGATAAAATTTTTTAAAAGACGGCTGTAACAAAAAATATACACTGAAGCTGAAAGTCATTAGAGTTTTGGAAAGAACACTAGTGTTGGGAATCATAGGAGATAAATTCAAATTTCATCTTTAACGTTTGCTACTTGTACCATCTTGGATAAGTCACTTAACTTCCCTGGGTCTGTTTCCACACCTGTAAAAGGAGGGTATTGGGACTCTATGGCCTCTGACATTTCTTCCTTCTCTAGGTATGTGAACCCTAGGATTTTGATGGAGACAGTTTAGGACTCTGAAACCACCTTGAGAATAGCAATATGCTTAGCCTTCAGTCACTATCCTGAGAAGCAACCCTATAGAGACGCAGCCTGGCAATTGTTGCTGCAAGTGACACAGCCACAGCTACTAAAGACCCAAAAAAGAAAGTTCTTGTTACCAAAGTCCCTGGCACTGTCAAATGGTTCAATATCATCTTATCAGTAGAAATGACGTAGAGCATTAATAACTGCTTTACCAGTATATCCTAAGGACCACCAAGGGACTTTTCCATATGACTTGCAGAAAACCTTCCAAGTGTTATTTGCCTTATTAGAATACTTAAAAACAAAGACTGTCTTTCTATCTGTATCCTCAGCACTTAAAACAGCACTTTGCACATAGTTAAGAGCTTATTAATGCTTCACTCATTCATTCAATTATTCCACAATCCTAGAATACTATCTTAGTCCTCAGGACTGCAAAAAGCAAGTAACTCTAGATCCACAAAAGCAGAATATCTTATTCACTGTAATTATTTTTTTTAGTCAAGCATGTTTGCATAGATTAACACAGCTATAATTCTTCACAAATTATCTTCATTTAAAAATTATTATATGAGCCCACATGAGGAACTATTAATATACTGAAGCATGAGGGCTGTGTGTGTTCATGTATATGTATGTGTATCTATGTATATATAGATAGATATACATATATACATACATACATATATGAGAGATAAGGCTTTGGACCTGTGATTTCATTTCATTAGTGAAAGGAACTCCAGGTGTAAAAACTTCTTTCAATGTAAATTGTTTGGCAACTTTGAATAGGTATTCTTAGCTCCTTTTGTATCACAGACCCTTTTGGTAGTTTGGAGAAGCCCATGAAGTCTTTCTCAGAAAAAAATTTTTTAAATACATAAGACAAAATACTTAAGATTACAAAGCAAACAAATTATATTGAAATACAATTATCAAATAATGAAAAAGCAAAATCCCAGGTTAAGACTCTTTAACTTATCTAGTATCACATAATTAGGGATTTGATGTTAACCTTAGAGGTCAACTAGTTCAGCCCCCTCATTTTACAGTTAAGTAACGATGGCCTAGAAATATTAAGTGACTTATATACAAGGTAGTAGGTAGCAGAACAGTGCTATGAACCAAGGTATAAATTCAGCCCTTTATTTAGTAGAACAAAATGCTATATTTTACTCCCAGAACAGTGGTCTGGGTTAATTAGCAGTTAACTGATTTAATAATAGCTATGCAAGAATAATAACTAGCATTTATATCATGCTTTAAGGTTTGCAAAGTTCTTTACAAATACTGTCCTATCTTAAGGTAGGTGCTGTTATTATGTCTATTTCATAGATAAGGAAATCAAGGCTGATAGAGGTTAAATGCCTTCATGAAATCACATAGTCATTATCTTAGGCAAGATCTAAACTCAGGTTTTTCTGATTTCTAGCCCTATGTTCTAACCACTGTGGCATTTCAGCTTGTTTGTCTGTCCTTATTCACAAAGCTAATGTTTGTCAGAGTCAGTACTTACACCCAGATAATCATAACTGCAAAGCTTCCCCTTCAATCACGGTGACGTGAGGGCTGCTGTGGGGGGGGGGGGGGAGAAGAGAGGCTATGTGTGTGCCTGTTTGTGGTCTACAATAGCATTATAATTTATCTGTAGTTACTATCAACAAAAGAACACACAATTATACTAAAGGATAAACAAAACATACCAAAACTGGATAAATGATTTGGATGTAAAGATTATAGTCAAGATAGTCAAGAAGACTCCTAGACATCAACTTTAATGACAAGCAAAAATGAGGTTTTTAAGGCCTGCCTAAAAGAGTTGGCAGACAAAAGGTTCTCAGTAGTTGCAATGTACCATTAGAAAAGGAAGAAATCAAGTTTACAAGTTTGTACAAATAAGTGGGGAAAGTTGTAAAGAAAAACGCAAATCAAAACAACAACAACACTGAGATTTCACTACATACCAAGATACTGACAAAAATGACAAAAGATAAGAATAATCAGTGTGTGAGGAGTTGTGGAGACACAGGCACAAATGCATTATTGGTGGAGTTGTGAACTGGTTCAACTATATGGGGAAGCAATTTGTAATTATTCAAGTAAAGTGACTAAAATGGCTATACCCTTTGATTTAGTATAGGCATATAACCCAAGAAAGTCGTTGATGAAAAAGAAAGTCTACAAGACAAACAAGATGTAGGATTAGATATCTTTTACAATTCTCAAATTAATTCTTAAAAACTCCACAAAGAAAAAATTGTACAATTTGTGAACAATTCCAACTATCTTTACAGGTCAAAATACCAAAAAGCCTACAGTGGTGATGTCATGAGCCCACATACTCTGGCAAGATGTATAACCTGACCCACCAGCTTATGTTCCAAGATATACTCACTAATTTCCCTGCCTGCTATAGTCCTTGCCAGTACAAATCTGTCTCTGCCCTCACTCTACCACTCTATGGCAAGACACATTACATCTGAATTACACCACCCACTTTCAGAAGAGGGGGAGGTAGAAGAAGGCAAAAGCATGTTCTGCCTGGGGCAGCAGGGCTTAGCCAGCAATTAAGAACAAAGAGAACTAGGTCAGGATACCACTGCGTACTAAGCATGAACGAAAAAGGGCTGACTAGAACTGAGATGAAGCTAGTCCCGTTCCCCCAGAAGACACTTGGGGCAGAGACGGAGGCTGGTGAAAAATATATACCCAATGCGGGAGAATAATCAGACACATGTCTAGTACAATTCTTGGGGGACCCTCCACCAAAGAGAAAGGAGTTAGAAAATGTAAAATAGGAGAATATAAGGGAAAAAAGACTAAAACAAAATCCAGCCTCAGAAACTTACTAGCTGTGTGACCCTGAGCAAGTCACTTAACCCCAACTGACTCACACAAGAAAAAAAAAAGGCTAAAACAAAGCAAAGATCTCAAGAAGACAGCTCTGTTAAAAACCTGGAGCACAAACAGATAAAGTCAACAGCGAAAATATTAAAACATAAGGGAAAACGGCTCCCAAGACATTTAAATGACTGCAAACATCTCTAAATAAAAATGCAAAACAAAGGAAATTAAACCCACTTCTGATGAAACAGAGAACTCTTTTGATTCTCAAGAGAGAACTGAATATCAGCATATTTTCCCAAATGGTTTAAGAGAGAAATCAAAATCCCCAAAGAAGTTAAAAGGGGACAAAATAGTAGAATTTATGTCCTCTACAGCAGATATGATTATGAGCAAATGAAGCCTTGACTCTCTCTGTAGCAAGTCCATCCAAAAGACAGAACAAATGATTAGGATAAAAAGAAAATACTCATATCCACCATTACATTTATAGCAGCACTTTTTATGGCAGCAAAGAACTAGAAACAAGGTAGATGTCCATCAATTAGGGAATGACTAAACTAACTGTCTTACATGAATGTAACAGCATATTACTGGGCTACAAAAAAAAAAAAAGATAAATATATGATAAATACAGAGAAGCATGGAAAGAAAGAACTGATGCAAAATGAAGCATAACAAGAAATCTATACATACACAATGACTATAATAACACACATGGAAACAACTACCACAAAACTATCAAAAATGAGTGATGTAAAATTGCAAAGAATAAGTATGGTCCCAAAAAAGAGACAGGAGAAACTCGGGGCCCACTCTTCCGCAGAGGTAGGAGATACATGAGTGTGGAACATTGCATGTATTTTCAGATTTCTTTTGTGTATTGATCAGTTTTGCTGATTTTTTTTCTCCTTTTTTCTTTTCTTAAACAAAAATCTTTGTTAAATGGTATGGCTCTATGAGAGGGAGAAAGTTATAGGGAGAAATATGAGTGATGTAGAAACCAAAGATTTTAATAATACTTTAAAGAAAATAAAAAGTTTTACTGGATACAAGAAGTAAAAATGATTTGAAAAGCTCAAATGTAATTCATGCACAACTTACCACAGCAAGTTGTGTCCTTGAGGCTACAGTATGAAAAACTGCAGGCATCATAAGAGATTCTTCAACTTTTAATTCCATGTCATTTTCTGCTGAAAATGTCGTTTTGGGAATAGCAGGTGGACGATCACATAAGATCATTTCTTTGTTAAACAGAAAAATTGGATTTGTGTCCTGTATTTAAAAGAATTATAATTTTAAAACTAAATTATACATTATTCACAGTCCTTCCCAACTTTAAAATTAGGATTGTATGACTAATATCAAAATGGTTTACTAGCATATGGATACTTCATAAAATATTTCTTTTGGTTATTTATATTTCTTCCAAACTCACTTCACTGCCACAAACAAACAAAGACAAAAAAAAAACAAAAACAAAAACAAACAAAAAACCAAACAAAAACAAAACCTTCTATTCTCCTCTAAATAATCTAGGATATAAGCCTAAGAATTTTTAGATTCTAACGTGTTCTCTCCTCAGCTAAAACGTATAATAGAACACAGGTGTGTACTTACTGTCCCAGCACTGTAAGTGCATACTCTTCGATCTGAGGCCATACATTCTCCTCCATTTACTACCAGTACTTGCTGGTGAATTGCAATCTTATATTTGCTTTGGATTGCATGTTTAAGGTCTGCCACACTAAGAGAAAAGATAACTACATTATTTCATTGTTGCCTCAATGAGAGGTTTATCTTTCACCAATAAAATACATAAAATTTAAAGAGGTTTATGCCAGAATTCAAATTAGGATAGTTTAACTATTGAGTAACTCTGCTCTGTATGGACTGTTTATGACTGTCCTAGACATCTCAATTTCAATCCCTTCTTTGGTCCTCCTAGTTCTCCTAGTACAGCTTTTAAAAAATGCTTTTGTAGTCTCTTAGCTTTCCTTGTCATCATCAGCTCGTCTCACAATTCTGACCATCAGGACCATTTCACATTTTTGTACTCATCCTCCAATGCCCACTACTATTTCCATCTTCTGTACAACTCTTTTTAATATTTAAGTCGGTTGGTTTCCTATACATCCACAAGAGTCTCCTTCCAAATTTGGGGGGGGGGGAGGGGCAAGGCAACCAGGGTTAAGTGACTTGCCCAGGGTGACACACTAGTAAAGTATCAAGTATCTGAGGCCAGATTTGAACTCAGGTCCTCCTGACTACAGGGCTAGTGCTCTATCCACCATACTACCTAGCTAACCCTGCACAATAGTCTCTTGATACAACTCTCTCCTTTTTCTTCATCAGAAATTTTTTCTAGTGTCTTAAGAATTTCTTTCTGGTGACTCTCACATTTCTCCTGCACTAACTTCCTTTACAGAATTTTGGGCTATTGGATCATACCTTTCCTTTCAGTGAACTCAACTCTTTTTGGAATCATTGTGGCAATGAGTTCTTGAAGTACCTAAAAACAGGCACTTATAGGTCTGCCCAAGATAGAAACTATACATATGCCCAATAATAAACTGAATACCAACCTTACAAAGACTAGGCTAGTTAGACACAGTACACTCATCACCACAATCCTGGGAAACAGGTGTCAAAAAATTTTTGGCCACTGAGCAACTCATGAAGCTGTCTTCTAAAGTTTTGAGGATTGTAATGAAATTAGATTTTTTTGAAGCATTAAAATAAAGCATTCATAAATCATAAGCAAAATTTATCATACTTGACCAAAATGTGATTTGCTAAACATATTTGGGTAAAAAAAGGGAATAGTTTCACACCTGCAAAGCACAATCTTACTCAATAACATGGTAGGGGCGAGGGATTTGAGGGGAAGGGAAAAGAAGGGAATAAGCATTTATATATAATCTACTGTAACAAGATGCATTTTCTTTAATCTCACACACACACACACACACACACACACACACACTTGTGTCAGTAAAATATTCTCACGTTTGCACTGCAAGTTCAGTGTCAAATGTTAGGGTAGTTCCAGTGTTGACCAAAAATACATATAACTTCATGATGATTTCTCTGGATTCTGGGAGTATATGTCTCTCACTCTGATATGGTCATTTAAGAACTAAAAAGAATTCAGAAACAGGGAAAAATTTTTAATATGTAGCACATTCATTAAGAAAAATCATATTAGAGCATACCTACACACACCAAAGTAGTCAGCTTTCATATGATGACACAAATATTTAGAACATAGCAGTCATAGAGGCAAACTGTTACATGGAACATAAAGTAACACATTAACCAGATTTTTCACTTTAACAAAGACAAAAGTCACTACATACCATATACACAAACACTCCTATTCAGTGGGCTCTAGTAGTTCTCTATTACCTTTATGATCAAATAAATCTTATCACTCTGGCACTTTAAGCTCCTTATAACCTTAACCCTTCTCATCTTTCCTCCAAACATTCTATGATACTATTGCATTGGCCTACCTGCAGTGCCCATATAAGGATACCACATGGGTCTCCATTCATTTTCCTTTCTCTGGAATGCTGTTTCTCATTTCCATCTCCTGGTTTCCCTTCAAGTCATAGTTTTAAGTCCCATATTTTACAAAAGTCTACCTTCTCACATCCTCTCACATGCTAGTGTCTTTTCAAAGATTATCAATTACTGCATAGATCTTGTATTTGTCAGGTTATTTACATGTGGTCTCCCCAATTTGAACATTATTTGAAGGAGCTTAACTACCATTTAAAAAAAAATATCTCCAGAATTTAGCATTTTCTTTGGCACATATTAAGTGCTTAGTAAACGCATGTTGACTGAAGTATAGATCAGTTTTTGTCATCCCCTCGGCTTTCGAGGAAGTAAAGGGGCATATAGTAGGAAATGTAGGTCAAGGTAAAATCTAAAGATTTCCACAACTATTATTTTTTTAAAAAATAAAGTTTTCTTGTAGCTGTTAAAAGCAGTTCCTGCCCTCACTGAATTAGTCTATCATAAAGGTTTCCAAGTTAAAGATAAACAAAAATTTATTTATATGCCAACCAAATACTATACTGTTTAAAAGTAAGATTTAGACTTACCTTCAGGCACTGTTAAAGGGGATACCACTTTTCTTAACTGTAAGAGACTAAAAACTGGTATATGCTTCCTTTGCTTGATATTGGCAACAGAATGACATTACTGTTCAAAATGAAATCTGGTGACCTAGAAATGAAAATATTTTTGGTTCATTTATTAAGAAATACCACATATGCCCAAAGCCCATATCTTTGGAGAAGATTCTAGGGGGCAGGTTAGTCATCACAGTTCCTTACTTAATGTAAATCAGTTTTTAATAATTTTCCAGTTACTATTTTAGGCAAAGACACCTGTAATACTTGTAAGTCACCAGAGTCTTCCAAGTCACATGATAAACAAGGAAGACTAAACATGTTCTCTGATCCTCATGACCTCTCAAACATCTCTATGGGCAAGAGTTAAGCAACTGCAACTATATCCATAGTCTAAGACACCAAGAACCTTAATGAGGCAAGAACCCAATAAGCCCTAATGCAATCACTCAGCACCCCATCAACAACAAGCTGCCACACTCTGTCAGAGGAGGACAATTTCTGGAATCCATTCAGCAATTTGTTTGCTGCTGCTATACAGTCTATGTCAGCACACCCCCTACTCTTGCTCTCACCCCACTATTCTGTGGCAACAAGTAACTGAACTCAACTCTGCTCAACCCTTTCTACCAGGAGGGTGTGGAAGTATAGGAAAGCAAAAGAACTACGTTCTCCCTGGAGGCAGCATGTGTGCTGCTCTATAAGCAGTCTTCTGTCAGGGACCTAAGAAACAGGGAATTGGGGAAAAGTACCAGCATATATGTGTAGCTCCACCAAGCCTGAAGGAAAGGGGACCAGAATCCAGCTGAGACCAGTTCTGTCCTCCCAGAAGTCACTTGGGGAAGAGACTAAGGCAGGTGAAAAGTGAATTCTCCATCACAAGTGGCATTTGAGACAGCTTCTTAGTTCAACACAGAAGAACCACCATCAAAGAAAAAGTGAGAAAATGAGTATCATGGGGGAAAAAAAAAGAAAATAAGGGGAAAGAGTTTAATTACCAAAGTTCTTGGGATGAAGAAAATTCAGTGAAAAATCTTGAGCACAAGCTGATAAACCAATAGGGAAGACAGTAATAGTAAAAGGCAATACTAACTCCAGACCAACTACATGAGTCCAAACAGCTGAATAAATATTACAAAAATAAATCAACACCTGATGATGCAGAGAACTCTGTGGATTCCCAGGAATGCACAGCAGGAGAGAAATAAGAATTGTGGAAGCAGGATTTATGTCCTGCACAGCAGAAAGAGAAAAATTTGAGTCCACAGTGGCAGATCTCTTCAAAGAGGGGGAAAAAAAAAAGAACAAAAGATTGGAATTGCAAATAACAAAAGTGAGGGATAATACTAAATGAGAAGCAAAAAACAATTTTAAAAAATATGATTTCTATGCAAGCATACATGTTAATCTTGAAGAGAGGATGCATTAGCAATGTAAGAATTATAGGTCTCCCAAAAGAAAATCTGAACACCCTAATGTAAAAAATAATACAAGAAAACTGTCCACTCCCCCCATCTTCTAGCTCTTAGTGACACTGGCTCCACCTAAAGACATAGTATCTCTGGTCACCATTTTCAGAACTCATACCCCTCTGATTACAATGGTTATGGTGTAATAAGAATACTACTTGATTCCAATCGCCACCTCTAAACTCTCCCTTTATATCACAATCATTCAATAACATTTTTGATGTTCTTTGATGTTCATGCTATCACCCCAGTCACTAGTCGATTCCTTACTCAGACTATACCCTTGCACTCCCATTTCTAATATATTGCCAAAGACTGTCAATTTTACCTTCATAACATCTCTAGCACAATTCTCCCTTCTTTCCTCTGACACTGTCACCTCCCTGGTACAGGTCATCACCTCACACTTGGGACTATTATAAAAGCTTGCTTGCTAGTTGGTCTCCCTACCACAAGTCTCTCCCCACTTTAGTCCCTCCATCACTCAGTTGCCAAAGTGATCTGGTCTGTCATTAACAATAACAACAGCTAAAATCTTATGTAGAGCCTAGATATACCACTTTACAAATATTATCTCATTTGATCCTCACAACAGTTCTGGGAGGTAGGTGTTATGAAACCCATTTTATATTTCAGAAAACTAAGGCAGTGCTTAAATGACTTTTTCAGATAGAAAGGCTTCATATACACAAAAATATCTAGAGCAACAATTTTTGTGGTAGCAAAGAAATGAAAACAAAGTAGAAATCCATTGACTGGAGAATGGATAAACAAATTGTGGTACTTGAATGAAATGGAACATTGTTATACCATAAGAAATAACAATTATGACAAACACAGAGAAAACTTAAATGGACCAATTACAAAGCAAAGAAAATAACATACATAAACAAAGCAATGTAAACGGGAAGAACAAAAAAAAAGTATTCATCTATTTCCTCTAAGGTATCAGTTCTGTTAATATAATTGGGCAAAATAGTTTCTCATAATATTCTTTATATCCTCTCCAAATATTGTGAGTTTTCTTAATCTTTTAAGCAATTTGGTTTTCTTTTTTAAAATCAGATTAGCTATCTTTATTTTACTCGTTATTTTGCAGGGTACTTGACAAATATTATCTCTTGATCCTTAACAACTTCAAGCTATATATCTCCATTTTACAGATGAAGAAAAGGGCTGAGAGATGTCCAAGGTACCACAACTAGTGAGTATCTATGGTAGAATTTGAACACAGGTCTCCCTGACTTGAAGTCTATTTCTCTATCCTCTACGCCACCTAACTGCCTTGAACAAAACGCCCTTAAAGAAAGAAATAAAGTAATTGGAGACTAAGTAGCATGGATCAAAGAACAAGCTATACAATATTACTACACTGTGATCAAGAAATGTATTTAGTATTTCTGCTTTTCTACTTTTTTGTGAGATCTTTTAGCACCTCACATATAGTCTGTTTTTATAAAAGTGCCATGCATGGCTGAGAGGGGGAGGGCTTTTTATTCTCATTTAGTAATTACCAGAGTTATCATCTCTAATTTTGTTAAATTCAAATTCTTAACTTCTTTGTTGTTTGTCTTTGGCTTGGATTTGTCTAGATTTGAAAGAAGGTATATTAGTGCTCCCCATTAATGCTCGTCTAAATTATCATATACTTAATAACTTTATTTGAATCTTTGTGTTTCATTTGTTTCTTATAAACGGATTGTTGGATTCTTCTTTAATACATTCTGCTACCCTCTTCTATTTAATGTATGAATTCATCCTATTAACACAGTTATGACTGTGAATTTCCCTTCATCCTGTCCTCCTGTACTATTTTCTCCTTTATCCCCACCCTTAAAAAAAGGTGGTAAAAGAAAGGGAATTTCAATAAAAACTTAACTCTCCACTTTCCATCTACAACTCTGCTTGGTTTGAACTCCAAGTAAGATGATTTCCTAACTCAGGATAAGCTGATCATCTGAAATCTCATCATCATGTTGTTTAACTCTGCTTTGGATACTAAATACTTTCCTAACTGCTTCAGCCTCCTCTCCTCTCTGGAGGGGTGGAGAACTCTTCCTAAGCTCTCCTTCATAGAGGGCTGAATTTGGAATCTCCAGATAACTCTCCACTTTCCATCTTCAGCTCTGCTTGCTTTGCAAGGAATGGGATATCCTCATGGGTACCTACCCCCTCAGCTTTTAAGCTTCCTTTTGTGAATTTTCTTCCCCCATTCTTAACTGCATCTCCAGTGCTTAACACAGTGCGTGGCACATAGTAGGTGCTTAATAAACATTTGCTGTCTTTCAGACAGTAACATCTGACTTTTCGTGACCACATTTGGAGTTTTCTTGGCAAATATATTGGGAGTAGTTTGCCATTTCCTTCTCCAGTTCATTTTACAGATAAGGAAATTGAGGCAAATAAGTTAAGTGACTAAGCATCTGAAGCCAGATTTGAACTCAGGTCTTCCTGATTCCAGACTCTGCCACCTAGCTGCCTCTTAATCAATATTCTAATTAGAGCAGTACTAGGTAAGCAATCTTCTGTGTTATTTTTCTCTTATCCTTACCCCAATTACTCTCTCCAGTTCTAAGTTTGCTTTGGTTACAATTATTCCCCCATTTATGTTGTCCTCTCTGCTAGAATCTCTCCCTTCTATTTCTCCCTTGTCCCTTGCCTTCTCATTTCCTTTTCAATTCTGATATACTGCTATACTGAAGGGGTAGAAGGTGGGAAGTAAATGTGTTCAGTTTTCCTTTTTTCCAAGTCGGATGACAGTGAGAAACATGGTGGGCACAACCCCCCCTTCCTCTATGATTTTATATTCTTCATCATAGGAACCTCTATTATTAGTGATTTCTGTTCCTTTCCTTCCACAACATAGTCTCCTGTCCTTCTCATTTCTGTCTTCTCCTAAAACCATTAAAACACAACAAAAGCCATCCTCAGACTGTTATTTTTAGCTTTCTCTGAGTCAAAGATATTAGAGTTTGGAAAAGACATCTGTAAATTTCCCCCCTCCCATGCCATTAATGTGTAAACAAGCCATCCTCATTCTTTTTCAATTAAATAATTATGTGAATCTTTCTGTGTTTCTATTGATGCCTGCAATTCTTTCAAAATATCTATTTGGTTCTGGCCTTTTAAACAAGAATGTCTGGAAATCTTCTACTCCATTAAAGATCCATTTCCATTCCCCACACCCTTTCCATCTATTATATTCAATTTTGTCATGTAGGTTATTCTTGGTTGTAAACTTTCAACTCTCCTTTTGAAATATTGTATTCCAAGTTCTCTACATTAACATGTTAGCTCCTAAGTTTTATGTAAATTCTTGGTACTTAAATTTTTTTCTTTCTTGCTGCTTGCAGTTTTCTTTTTTAACATAAAAGCTCTGGATTTGTATATTAAGTTCTTAAGAATTTTCATTGTGGAAGTTTCTTTCAAGATGTGTTCAACAGATTATATATTCACTTTGCCCAAATGTTCTAATATGTCCAGGTAGTTTTCTTTCATGATTTCTTCAAATATGATATTTAGTTGTGTGACCCAGGGCAAGTCACTTAACCATGATTGCCTCCAAAAAAAAAAAAAAGAAAAAGAAAAAATTTCATATCTAGGACCTCTTTTTTTTTTTTTTTTT